AGTTAATTATAATTCGAGTTAACTCATTAATAATAAATGATAATAATAATGATTAATAATTAATAATATATGCAAAAAAAATTATTTTTTATTAAATCAAAACGGAAATGGTTTTTTTTTTCTCTCTCTCTCTCTAATAAAAAATATTATTATTATCATCATCATCGTATACCGAAGGTAATCATCACGATGATGATGATGATGTTGATAATAATAATGATTGAAAAGATTTTAATTAATTTACGACGTATTTAAAACGAGTGAGAAAAGATACACACGACTTTTAATTAGTAATATATAAAATAAAATAATAATAATAATAATAATAATAATAATAATAATAATGATGATAATAATTATAAGTCAAATAAATTAAGAAAACTTTTATTGGTTTCCTTTTCATTTTATTTTTTAACAACCCAAAAACCTAAAATACAGGAATGAAAAAATAAAAAGGGAGAAAACAAGAGTCTAATCAAGCAGAAGAAGCAAAAAGAGGAAAAGAAAAAGAAAAACGGTTCGTGTGCGGTTCGGCGTGATAATAATAATAATAATAATAATAATAATAATAATAATAATAATAATAATAATAATAATAATATAAAGAAAAACGAAAACATCATTATTTTTCATTTAAAAAATAAAAAATAGAAAAAAAAATTTCTTTTTCTTTTTTTTCTCCCCATTTATATATAAATGGAGATTGATGATTAAACACAACACAACCAACTTTGAAATAAGTTTTAAAAAAAACCTTATTACATTTTTTATCAATGCGTAAATTTAAATTTAAAAATTTTCCTTTCAAACGTAAAAAAAAAGAAAATGGTCGGTTAACAAATAAAATAAATAAAACTTTTACTTTGAAAAAAAAATTGATAATTAAAATTACGTTCGGAAATCATCGTTTATCTTCGTTTAATTGATTTTATAAAAACTTATAAATTTCGACCAATCAAATTTCGACCAAACAAATTTCGACCAATTAAATTTCGACCGAACAAATTTCGACCAATTAAATTTCGACCGATCAAATTTCGACCAATCAAAATTATTCATTTTCTTTGAAAAATTTCATTCGTTCGAAGAAATTTCTGAACGTACATTTAAACTTATTTAAATTTTGACGTTCCCAAACGTAAAGAATGTTTTTGTTTATCGTTTCGAGTACTTTTTTTTGTTCTAATTAAAAAAAAAAAAAAAAAACCTAATTTGAAAACGTGAGAAAAAGAAAATTATTTAAAAAGAAAAAAACAATGACAACAACGTGTTAAAAAATTTAAATTTTGAAAAAACATTTCAGGTAATTTAAAAAAAAGAAAAAAAGAATTCCAACAGTTTTTTCAAATATATCAAATAACAAAAAAAAATGTTCGACGCCATATTGGATGCATTTTTTACATAAGAAATATTAATAATAAAATTTTCTTTTTTTAATATGTTTTTTTTACACGTTCGTGAAAATTTTTTTCTTTTTTTTCTTTTCCGGTAACGTTCGATTTGATATTTATACAATTATCGAATCACACTCGCGTACTCGATTACAAATTTTCCGGAAAAAAAAAAAGTTTAAAAAATCCGCAACGGAAATTTTTTTTAATTTGAAAAAAACATAGAAAACGAAGGGAGAAAGGGGGTGGGTGGGGAACGGGGGGAATGAAAAAAATTTGATTTCGTGTCGGGTTAATCAAAAAAGAACGAACGAACGAACTAAAACGTTTTTTTTTTTTTTTTTTTTTTTTTTTTTTTTTGCCAAAATTAAATTTTCTTTCATTTTAGCAAAAAAATTTTCTATTTCTTTTTTTAAAAGTTTTTCCTTTTTTTTTTTTTTTTTTTTTTTTAGAAAAAAGAAAAGAAGTGAAAAATAGAAAATTAGTTAAACCGTTTTTCGTAACAAAACAAAATGTTAAAAAAAAAAAAATTTTTTTTCCTTTTTTTCTCTTTCTCATTATCTTTGTCTCTCTCTTTCCTATCTTTCTCTCTCTCTCTCTTTTCCTTTTTCACTTTGTATCACTTTCTCTCTCTCTCTCTCTTTTCCTTTTTCACTTTGTATCACTTTCTCTCTCTCTCTCTCTTTCCCTACCCCACAGCGTAATTTTCTTTATGCGTGAAAAAAGTTTATATGCACATAAATTTTCATTTTAAATTTAAATATAAATTATCATCATCATCATCATCATCATCATCATCATCATCTTCATTATCATTATCATTGCTTAATTTTTTTTAAACAATTTTCGAACGATGATCGTTAGTAGGCGGTTAATTTAAAAAAAAAAAAATTTTTCTTTTGAATTTATGTAAAAAAATATTGATGAGTAGGGCAGGGGGAGGGGGAAGGAAAGGAAGAAGAGGGGAATGGCAGGGGAGGAATTGATTGATTTTTTTTTTTCTTACGAAATGATTGTTTGCAAAAAGAAAAAAGTTCATTTGAATATTAAAAAAAAAAAAAAGACTTAAAGCGTAGGAGGAGGAAATTCGGAGGGTGGGGGTGGGAGGATTAAAATTTACATTCCAGGAGTGCGGTTTCCGGTTTTTGAATTTTTAGTTCCCGAAGAAGAGAAAAAGAATAATTTAAATGGAAAAATTTTTTTTTTGTGATTCCGGGATAATTTTAGGCATTAAAAGTTCAAAATGGAACAACGACAAAAAAAATAAAAAAATAAATTTGTCGAACAACGGCACCCAAAAAAAAAAAAAAAAAAACAACAACAACAACAACAAACGTCAGATTGTGGAAGATTCGTTTTGTTTTTAATTTAAAAAACAAAGTGAGAGAGAGAGAGAGAGAAAGATAAAAAGAAAGAGAGATAAAATAAAAAAAGGGATACAGAAAAAAAAATTTACACGAAAAAGAGAGAGAAAGGAATATTATCAGAAAGAGAGAGAGAGAGATAATAAAAAAAATCGCATAGAGTAAATAAAAGAGAGAGAGAAAAAAAATCACTTAAAATGAGTAAAAAAGAGAGAGAGACAAATTGAAAAAAGGGATTCAGAAAAATATACACAAAAAAAAGAGACGGAATAATACTCAGAGAGAAACATTCAGAAAGATAGAGAGAGAAAAAAAATGGTCACAAAAAGAGAGAGAGAGAGAGAGAAAAAGAGAAAAAAGAATCACATAGAGTGAATGAAAGGAAGGGAAAAAAATCACACAAAAAGAGAGAGAGAGGAAAAAGAATCACATAGAGTGAGAGAGAGAGAGACAGACAAAATGAAAAACAGGATTCACGAAAAGAGAGAAAAAGATACACACATAGAAAGATTCAGAAAGATTGAGAGAGAGAGAGAGAGAGAGAGAAAAAAAAGCCACTTAAAGAGAAAAATATTTTCAGAGAGAGACAGAGAGATGTCACTTAGAGAGAGAGAGAAAGGGGGTAGTGGGCGGGAAAACTACTTAGCGATCAACGTGATTTACCGTAAACGACTTTTGTTGTCTTGTCCCGCCGGACATTTTATCGCGTGATATTTTACTTCCGGTTAAAAACGCATTCGAGTTTTCCAATTCAATTCAAACAACTTATTTATTTTTTTCTTTTCTTTTCGCGCGTTTCCCTTTCGCCCCGCCCCACTCCTCGAATGTTTTTTTTTATCTTTTTAATGTTATCCTTTATCACTCCAATTTTATCACTCATATATATATATATATCAAAAAACCATTAGAAAAAAGTTGAAAGAACTTTTCCGTGAGGGAAAAAAAAAATTATTTATTTTTGTTCTTATCCGTGAAATTACTTTCTTTTCTTTTCTCCCCAAAAAAAAAAAAAAAACAAAACTTTATCAAAATTTCTTTTTTTTTTTTTTTTACGTGGTAAATATACAATTTGAAATGTGTGACGGGTTTGCCTTTGAGTTCATCGAACTTTATAAATTATTTATTAATATTTCACTATTGGTTTTTTATCAGTAGCCATTTTGTTTTATCATTTTTTTTTTCTTCGAAATGACCCGACCCGCCCGAATCCACAAAAAAAAAAAAAACAAATTTTTCGCCTTTTTTTTTGCTCCCCCATCGCTTCGAGCACCGAAATTATTCGATTTTCTCCCTCTACCCCTCCCCCACATCTCCATTATCATCATCATCATCATCATGGTTTCGTAAATATATATTTATTTAGTTTTTGTATTTTAATGAAATGCAAATAAGGCCCCGGAAAAAAAGGAAAAAAAAATTTTCTTTAATGGCTAAATAAGGCTAAAAAAAAAAGGAAAGGAAAATGGAAGAGGAAAAAAAATGGAAGAGGAAAAAAAATGGAAAAGAAAATGGAAGAAATATACATTTTTTTTTTTTCTTTTCAAAATCCTTTTCTCCCGATCGAACCGACGACATCTTGTTTTTTTTTTTATCCTTTTGCCCTTTCGCTCTCCGCCCTCCCTGTTCTTACGACAGACAATTACAATCGAGTGCATTTACCTTAGCAATATGATTTCAACTTTCTTTAAAATCTCCCCTCCCTCCCTCCCTCTTCCCCCCCCAATCCCGCCAAAAAATAAAGAAAAGAAGAAAAGTTTTTTTATTGTTAAAATTTTCATTTTTTAATTGAATTTCAATTTTAGAAAGTTCCAAATTTAATTTTAATACACATAAAAATAATAATAATAAAATTTTCCACCCCCCCCCCTTTCTCCCCCTTTTTTTTTCTTTAATAAATTTAATTTCTTTTTAACCGAGTTTTTCTCGCGTACGTAATTAACGATGATGATGATGATGATGATGATGATGATAATTTCATAAACAACTTTTGTAATTTTAATTCGAGTTCGACAAAATTAGTCAGAGTTTTTTTTTTTTTTTTTTGAATTCATTAATGAATGTTGGTATCCCTGATGAAAACTATCGTGTCCTCCTCCTCTGTCGGTTTTGACCCGCGAATCATTTACAACACAAAAAAAAAAAAAAGAAAAAGAATTTTCCACTTACCTTAAAACATGGGTTGTATTATGACGGCATCGTTTTCAGCAGTTTCAGAATGTTGTGTAACTGCTGAAACTTTCCTTAGCTAGACGTAATGCGAGGATGATTCCGTTTTCCAGCAAGTCAGGCACGGGAGTACGCATTCCAGAGTATTTTTAAAAGCTTCTCTAAAATCCCTATTGAAATATGCGTATATTAAAGGATTCAATGCGGAATTGAAATAACCGATCCAGAAAAGAACGGCAACGACAACTTCCGGACAATAACACGTATCGCCGCAAAGAGTCGTTATGACGTACCTGGAAAAAACCGGATATCAAA